TGGTTCTCTTGCAAGTGTTTCTGTGCACTCTGAAAGGCAGGATGTACGAATGATAGACACACGAGAGCACATTCTTGATATTGTTCAGTGAAGTCCGCATCTGTCACTCGTAGAATTGCCTCTCGCATCGGCGTATCACATATTCAGGTGTGGCGAACTTTACATCATGAAGAGTTATTCTTACCATGATCAAATGGTACAACATCTGGAACCAGGCGACCATGCACAGCGTATGGATTTGTGCCACTGGATAAAAAGCTCATCCCGAACTGTTTAGCGTCATTTTATTCAGTGATGAGGCGTCTTTTACCCTGGATGGTGTAAATAATTTACGAAATGTGCATACGTGGTTCCATAATAATCCACATGAGATAATGGAAACGAAATTCCAAAAGAGATTTTCCGTCAATGTTTGTTTAGTACAGTTATGTAGTCTGTTTATACCAGTATGCGCAGCCAGCCATATTATGTCAGCGCTTGCCAGTCATGTGTCATGTATAGTGTTTGGAAACCCTAAGTACAATTATGACATGGCGAGTGAGTATTTTGTACTTCAATTTTATGACTTCACGTCACTCACAAGTTAGTTTGATGTTACATACATTATTAACATTACAGAATCCACATATTTCTGCCAGTTTTAATATGTATTTTGTAATCAACAAGTGTGTAACAGCGGTCAAAGTTTCACACTTCTCTGGCCATTATCTCCGTAACCGTTAAACTTTGGACATAGGTGTTTTGGGTTATATCGGCATACTTTAACATAAGGAACACCCTCCCGAAGTTTGGTCCATTCCTCCTGGGACACCCTGTATATGCGCTGTCATGGCATCCAGGTAACTATGGACAGCAGAATTAATCCTAAACTATGTAAAACCAAATGTATGTGGTACTGGAGAAGGAAAAGCTGGCATAGGAAGTATAAGACACTTACACATAATGGCAGTCAGGCCTATGACCATTCAGCTGACTGTTAACTCAACAAACTGTCCTGCTTATAACATCTCTGCATGGACTTCACAGAAAACACCATTCTTCTGTTGCTTTTTACAACTGTTGCCATGCAAACATGCTTGTCTGTGAAGCTGTTACTCAGCAATGGCTGTTGTATATTTTCTCATCTCATGGGCATCAACTAGCAATGGATCTACACGCCACACTGCTCCCTCCTTATGGCTAGCCATCCTGAACAGGCTACAGGCATACTGCCATTTCTTCTTTTCTGATGCTGTGCTTCTGACATCTGTAATCAGCTTGGCCTTCATTCCTTGTGACTCATTTCTCATGGTGATTGCTCTCCAACTGCTCCATCCTTAAGGCTGTTCCTCGCAAGCAGTTCCCGGATAAGGTCCAGGTGTACCATCATCATCTTTGTCCTTTTCCAACTTGTGTGGGCACTTCAGAGAGTAGTCGATGCTCCTACATCTCTGGCTCTTAAGCCTCTAGTAGCCTCTTCTTTCATTTGAGATGTCTTCAACACTCATTTTCTGATCACGTTAGACTCCGACTGTTCACTTCGCAATCTCCAGCACCATGGTTTATCTGAGAGTCTCATGTCTTTTTGCTTCGCAGATATAGCTCTTGTTTCAGCCCTCGGTCCCTTATGCCATTACTGAATTTCAGTTTTGTCCGTTGTCTCTTTTCGAATATTTGTCCTGTAGCAGCTCTTCATACAACTAAATTCATGTTCCACTTTTTCTGTCATCTCTTCTCGACCATTGGTCCTTTATCACCACGTCCCTTAGGCTGTGCTGAAACTGCTTAGGTCATCCGTCTGTGGATGGAAGCCAACTTCTTCTGGGACCCACCAGTCAGTGGTACCCTGTGACTAGAATCCAGTCCCCGTATCAGTCCTCCGGCATTCCCACAGCTCCCACATCGGTTTCTTCATTAGGGACTTCATGGTGCACTGCTACATTCACCATCTCAACTTTGGTTGGCTCCTCCTTCTCCAGGTAGGCCTCCATTGCTTCCTGGTGGGCTGTCGTTTCTTTTCATCATGCCTTTACTTATCTTAGCCAGGCATCCACATTTTCTTGGTTTACATCAATGTGGGTGGCAAGACAGCCTATCTGGGTTTTCAGGCTGGACATTATTTCTTCTTTCAGGTATTCCTGGCCAGCTTTCATTTCCTTTAGGCTGGTGTCCATTCTTTCTTGCCTGGCCTTAAATTTCTTCTAGCCAGACATCCATTATATCTCAATTTGATTGAATCAGTTTTATGCAATCCAACCTCACTTCTGACACTTGT